GTTGAGGATTTTGAGATCTCGAGTTTCAGTTGTTGTGGAATTCCAGGTTTGGTGTTCAAGGTTTCTAAAACTAACAGATACACCCTAAACCCTAAACCCTAAATCCCAAACCCTAATTCAGCGGTTAAGGCTTTTAGGAGTTAGGATCCTGGCGTCTTGGATCTAGGAGTGTGGACTTAGGTTGTCAGGGTTCGAGATATACGGTTGATGATAAAAATCATGCTTACCCATAATGAGGAAGGTGCCATAATTCTCATAGGGTCCTTAAGGTAATGCAGGATTCAGATCGTAAACAGTGCTTTGGGCTTTCGGGGTCGACTGAGTCTTAGGTGCTGATCGTGATGCGGATAACTGGTCTTCTTAAGTTTTGAGGTTATTGGTGGAATATATGGGCATTTCTCCGAGCTCGAATCTATTTCTTGCATTGCCAAGAGCACGTTGCTCTCAGGCAGAAGGGTGCTATTTATGTGGGACTCTAGTTTAGAGAACTAGCCATACAGGTTGCTGATATAGTGGAGATGTGAGATGAGATGGTAAACTTAGATTGTGGGATTCTTCGGGTGCTAACGTTGTGGCTCCTCGTCAATCCTAAGAGTGTTTACATGCTTACCTGTGTTCATTGGCTTCTGTTGCACTGGCGAGAGTCGCTCTGGACCCTAAACCCTAAACCCTAAACCTCAAACCGCCTAAATCCCAAAGCCCTCAACCCCTGACCCGTTTGCCCCCCCAGATCTTCCAGTATCCCATAATTATCGCTTAAAATACCTTAAATCATTTTCGGGGTCCGACGGTGGCTTCAGTTATGTTCTGGTATATGCCTTTGTTTAAGACTTTTGGAAGATCTGAGTTACTTGTCAAATCGGATTTGTGAGTGAAACTTGGTTTCATTAAACACATACCCTGGATTTCGCAGCACCTTCCATGCTGGCTGCTTGCAAGACGGGCCCCATAAGACTCAAGCCGACTGGAGCCAAAGTCAACTGTCACGCGCTTTTTCTCTCAACCCCCAACCCTGAAATGCGGTTGTTTTCTGTCGATAAGCCTTTTTGGAAGTATAGAGTCGTGTCTTACAAGCCTCTTTGATTAAGGGAAGTGACATTAAACTCCCTAATCCTCTTCAGGCGCAGGATTTGTTTGTCTTATCAAGGGTCTCCAGTAGAACCGCAGGCAATGCAGCCCCCTAAACCCAAAACCCTGAACCGTTTTAGCAGCCCTGTACCATTGACAGCCAGCAGGAGTCTCGCACCCAGAGTCCCCAACGGCGCCGAGTTACGTTCGATTCGGGATTACAGGCCTGTGCATGATGCATTTAGGGCTTAGCGTGTAGGGTACCGAATCTCATTGTGGCTGGTGTGTTCCCGTGTCGTTTGCTTGTCAGTGATGGTGGCAGACGTTGTAGTGGTTGTAGTGGCACGACTACTGCTACTGCTACTGCTACTGCTACTGGTACTGGTACTGTTACTGCTACTACTGCTACTGCTACTACTACTACTACTACTACTACGACTACTACGACTACTACGACTACTACTACTACTACTACTACTACTACTACTACTACTACTACTACGACTCCTGTTGGTGCTGCTACTACTACCATCACAACAACAACAGCAGCAGCAACAACAACTACTACTGCTGTAGCAATAGGAATGCTCATCGTATTGCAACGCCCTGCCACCCAGGTTCTGCCTTTATATTCAGATTCCGGGAGTCCTCCGTGCCTCTAGTTGGGCAGGGTCTAGGGTTTAGATTTAGTTTGGGGTGTAGGGTTTTGGCATTTGGGCAGTTCCTTCTTTGTCATGCCCCGATTGGGCATCAGGACTAAATCCTAAACCCTGAACTAAACTTGGAACCCTGAAACCCTAACTCGAAGCTGCACGCCCAAGCCTCAAACCGAGAAAGCCCTGAGCACTGAACATAACCTGTCCTAAACTCTCCCGCAAAGCAGCAAACCTCATAAGCCCTAGATCTTATGCACTGCCAGTAGACCTTAGTTCGAAGTTTTGTGGTTAGTAATTACGACTGATGTTGGTACTATGATCTCATCAGTATTTCTTGTTGTAATCACTCTGACTACTATTAATACTCTCCTTCTTCTGAAGATTGTGCGTGTGTTTCTTGTCTCGTACTATGATTAGTTCTGTTGTCATTTGTGTTGTTGTCATTGTTGCTAGTATCATTATCAAATTGTTACGATTACTACTACTACTACTACTACTACTACTACTACTACTACTAGTACCACTATCACGATGACGACGCCTGCTACTACGATGATGATGAATATTGTCATTCTGGCAGCTCTCGTACTCCGCTTCCAAAGCCCTCGCGGATGCGGCGAGGCTCTCCTCGACCGCGTGAAGGCCTCGGTTGCTCCGGGCAACGCCTCCCTGAAGGGCCTGGCCAGGTGGGCTAGGGTTTACTTGGAGGTTCTGATTTCATAAGTACAGTTATAAGCACCTCAAACGAGGTTTTCAGTGATTATAAGTATAGTTACCTTATTTGTAACTCTAGTTATTCAATAAGTCGCATGAACCTTTACATAGGGTTTAGGTTTAGGGATGCGGGTTTGGGGACTGGCGTTTAGGGGTTTAGGGTAGTGACTTGCGGAGGTACATGTCGGGCCTTAGTATCCCCTGCCAAATGACTGCAAGGTTGGGTGAGGGTTCATGGCTGTAGATTTAGGGCCATTACTTAAAGGTTCATGGGACTAGGGTTATACATAGGTAGTTATACTTTTACAGACTTATTACTTGTAGCCCAAGTAAAGTATTTAGAACTGTACTTATTAAGTCCCATGAACCTCCAAGTAGCTTCCAAAGCCTAGGGCCTAGGGTTATGGTTTGGTTTTTTCGGCTCGGGGCTTCATTGAGGGGTTCTTCAATTAAGAGGACATGACAAACGGTTTAGGGTTTAGGGTTTTAGGGACTAGGGGGGATTGCCGTCAGTAGTGTTCTTCAGGGTTCCTGATTACAATTAAGGTACAACGTACACCAGATTACACCACTCTAATTGTTTCGGCACCTAAACCCTAAACCCTAAACCCCAAACCCTAAACCCTAAACCCTAAACCCCAAACCCTAAACCCTAAACCCTAAACCCTAAACCCTAAACCCTAAGCCTATGTTACCTGCGTTGCCAGATGACCTTTCTCGATTTCTGGCCGCGGTCTCCCAGGACTCAAGCCCTGAAGCTCCAAGCCCCATGAATCCTAAACCCTAAACCCCTAAACCTTTAGGGTTT